ATAGATGCAGATATCAACAGAATATAGTAGAGGACCCAGATACAAGGCCATACAATCACAGCCATCTAATTTTTAATAGATAACAAAAGTACACATTGGAGAAAAGACAGCATCTTCAGCAAATTGTGCTGCAAAAACTGGACATCTGCATGTCAAAGAATGAAACTAAATCCCCATCTCTCACTCTGAAAATTAATTAATTCCAAGTGAATCAAAGGCCTCAACATAGGACCAGAAACTTAAAGACTGCTAGAGGGAAAAGTAGGGAGTACACTTCAAGATATAGACATAGAGGTCTGGAGAGATGACTCTGTCATTAAGAGCACTGGCTACTCTTGTGAAAGACCCAGATTTGAATCCCGGTACCCACATGGCAGCTAACTACTATCCATAACTCCAGTTCTGGGGGATCCAACACCCTCTTCTGACCACCACGGGCACTGTACAACATGGGTGCACTTACATACATGCAGGCAATAAATATAAATAAAATATTTTTGAAAAGATAGCAACATAGAGAAGGATTTTTCTGAATAGAAATAAAGCCAATAATAAACAATGGGATCTCATAAAGTTAAGCTTTTCAACAGCAAAGGAAACTTTCAGTCAGGTAAAAAGACAGGCTATGGAATGGGAGAGAAATCTTTGCTAGCTATATATCCAAAACATTAGTTTCTAAAATACACAAATATCTCAAGAAACTGAATAAACATTAAACAAACGGCCCATCAAGAAATGGGTCAGAAACACAAAATAGCTAGTAAATACTTCAGAAAGCAGTCAACATTGTTAGCCACCAAGGAAGTGCAAATAAAAGCTACTTTGAGATTCCGTCTCACCACAGTAAGAAAACAAATGATTACAAATGCTGGTGAGGATGTGGGAAAAGGCAAACACTTATGTGCTGTTGGTGGGAATGGTGGGAATGTAAATTGGTGCAACCATTATGGAAACCAGTGTCGATGTGTCTCAAATAGCTAAAAATAGAATTACCATATGATCCATCTATTCTACTCCAGGATATATACCCAAAGGGCTCCATATCCTTTTACAGAGATACTTGTACATCCATATTCACTGTTACATTATTACAACAGCCAGGGAATGAAATCAGGGAGTGAGGGAATAGCTGAACACACATGATATAAAAGTAGACAGGGTTAACACTGGAGGTTAAAGGTTTAAGCTAGAATAGGGTGGAGGACAGTGTAGTGCAGTGGAGAGGATGGGGGGTAGGTTAACCAAAACAAAAGATGTATGAAAACTCCTTTTGGAACATCACTCCATGGAAAGCTAACTAAAATATAATTTTCTTAATTAAAAGGAATTTGAACACAGTTACCGTTCATGGATCGGCCATATTTCTTTCAGAAGACATGGCTTATTAAATAAAAACCTCAGTATCAGACATGAGATAACTCCTTAAAAGTTAATGCAGAAACTCATAAATGTTGAAATTGCTGAGAATAAATGACTGAGAATGCTCAGACATAGCTAGGACATCCATATTTACCTGTTTCCCACCAAGGCTCAGGCGCACATCAAGGAACAAGAGGTGGAAAGAATGTGAGAGCTGGAGGATGGAGAGGAAGTTGGGAAAGCCTGTCTTCTGAACATGATGTAGCTGTTGCATACATGAACCCACAGCCGCTGTGGTTACCTGCACAAGACCTGCACAAGATAAACCACTTAGCAAGGGGGTGGGGCTGCTCCTGGGGCCCTACTCCTAGCTGCAGAGCTACTGTAAGCTGAGTTTCTGGAACACATTAGCATTCTTTGGGATAAACACATTCATTGTGTTGTGCTTTCTATGGAACAAATAAACTATAGATATTCTCAATTACAAAAGAAAGAAGGAACATGAAAACATTCATTTGTAGACCAATTCTTTGTGGTATCAGAATCAGGAAGGGAGGAGAGATATCTATCTTTATTAAGATCCATATTCAAAACTTCATTGCCAATAATATCAGAAACTAGAGAGAAGGAAAGAAATATTAGAGGATAAAATAAGAATTCTTTCCTTTAGAGTTGGGACATCTTATAAGTTTTATATAATTTTTAAATATTTAGTGGAGCTTTTAACCCTGCCTATAAAAATTTCAATTCTTTCCTCAGTTCAAGAAACTGATTCTCAGGACTGGAGAGATGGTTCAGTGATTAAGCACCATCTGCTCTTGCAAGGACCCTGGTTAGGTTAACAATTGTCCATCACTCCAGTTCCAGGGCATCCTACACCCTCTTCTGACTTTCACAGTCACTGCATGACACAGGTGCACTTACATACACGCAGGCGATACACTAATACACATAAAAATAAAAATAATAAAATATTTTTAAGAAAGAGACTGATATTCATTAATATTGCTTATTTTGTATTAATCGAGCCACACGATAATTCCCTGGTATCTTTGCACTATGCCCTAAGCAACAAAATTTACATTGATATATGTTCATTAATGTGTGTCAATATATGTGTTTTAAACACACATATACACACATATGTATATATATATATATATGCACAAACACACACCATTTATTCTATCAAGACCCTTAAACTGCCACAGAATATATTCTTTGCATCATCTGTGTTCTACTTTTTAAAAATATTTTATTATTTTTACTTTTTATGTGGATGCATGTATTGCCTGCATGTATGTAAATGCACCTGTATCATGTAATCCCTGTGGAGGACAGAAGAAGGCGTTGGAGCCCCTGGAAGTGGAGTTAGGGACAGTTGTTAGCTGCCATGTGGATGCTGGGATTCAAGCCCAGGTCTTCTGCAAGAACATCCAGTGCTCTTAACTGCTGAGCCATCTCTCTAGCCCCCTGTGTTCTATTCTTAAAAAAAATTGTTTTATTTGTAATTGCACACATGTGTGTCTGTGAATGTGCACATAAGTGCAGCTGCCTGTGGAAGTCAAAAGACGGCATCAGATTTCCTGGATCTGGAGTTAAAGTCAGTTGTGAGCCACCTAAAGTGGGTGCTGACACCAACCTCTAGTCCTCTGCAGAAGCAGTCCACGTTCTTCACCACTAAAACCTCTCCAGATCCTATGTTCTATTTTTAAAATGCTTTCTGTACAGAACGACCCTCAAACCAGCTGATATTTTTTAGCTTCAGGTTTTTGTTTGTTTGCTTGTTTTTGAGGCAGCGTCTCTCTGTAGCCCCTGCTGGCCTGGAACTTGCTATGTAGAGTAGGCTGGCCTCAATCTCAGAGAGATTCACCTACCTCTGCCTCCTGAGTGCTGGGATTAAAAGTGTGCACCACTGAACCACTGTGCTTGGTTAAACCAGCTGATCTTTAATTGCATATCACATTTTGCTTTTTGAAGAAGCTGAACATCACTGATGTGCTTGAAAAATAACCCTACCTCTCCACTTTTCCTGGAAAACTACCATGTGCATAAGCAAAGTAAGTGGTTTATACAAATAGCACTGGGAATTACTGTTGCAAGGTATCAAGGCACAACATGGCTAGAAACTGGATGGAGCTACAGGTTAGATAAAACTAATGCAACAAAATCACTTACTGCCTCTGTGTCATCATTACTCAGAAGATTAAAGCCCAGCTTCGTCATGAAGCTCTAAACCACAAATTGACTAAAAGTGAAATGACCTACCAGAATCCCTCATTCGTGCCTCTTAATGTCTATAATATTAAGTTAACTAGATAGTGCATGACACTGCAAGCTAGAACAGACCTCTTGGACTGAACTTCACATTGATTTTAAGAGCTGGTAACTGTGGGTATATAGTCACTAATATTAGCACTGCCATTTTCTGATACAGAGACACCGTCAACATCACTCAATTTCATCAAATAAACAGTGTACCAACTGTCACCTTCAGAACATCTATTACTCATAAAATGAAGAAAAGTTCATGTCTTTCAGACCAAACCACATACATAATGAATTCTTATGCTCTCATTTTATTATTTTTATTATTTTATTTTAATTATTGTCACTTTCTTGTCAGATATTTCTCAAGCAAAACCAGAGACTTGCATTTGTCTCTTTTTCTAGATATACTAAATGACAACTAAGTTAAATAAATGCTCAACACATATTAGTTGAAAATGTCAATGAATAAAACCTTTGATTCTCAGCATTGAATAAAGTATGCTTCATGTAGTATGTAAAAATAAAGGAAAGAAACAGGAGCACGTTAAATTTAGTTGCATGCACAGAAGTTGTCAAATGTAAATGTTGTTTTGTTGACTTATCTTAGTCCCTAGGTTAAAATTAGTTCATTATATTTCATGAAGAAATGCAATAACATTTAGCTACCATTTTGTAAGAGTTTTGCTATTGTTTTACCCCTTTATGGCTTAAATCAGTATTTAAATTAATTTTAAATACAATGTGATATTAAATTCACATGTGTATTGTACAATTTAGACTAAGACATCTCTGCAAACGGAGAACTTCTGGCCTGTTATTTACTCCAGTTGGATTATTGAATAACCTCAATGTTGATGCTTGCCCAGCAATGTTAGGAATATTATCCATCACTAACTTCCAACCAATCTCATTTTCTCCAGTGGCAAAACACTACTCATTAATATTCCCCATAACAACTCTCTCTTTCCATTGTTTCTTCATTTATCTTTTAAGAACATATTACACAAAAGGCTAGGGACTCAGTGTAGAATATGATCTGCTGTAACTGCAAAACCTTCCAAAAGTAATTTTAATTCTCAATAAGTATTTTTTATGCATTATGCATTTTATGAGCAGAGGATATAGAGAAATTTTCTAATTTCATGAGAGGAAGAAAACAAATAATAACCAAGTAACAAAGAAGAAATACAGGGAATGTGTTATGGTAAATAAACCATACTGATCCAAAGGTAAGTACTCACAGTTAGCCTTTTTTTTTCTAACATCAGTCACAGAGGGGAGCATCAGCATCAGTGTTAACATCAGCATCGGCATCAGCATCATTATCAACCTCAAGATCAGCATCAACATCACTTAAACTTGGTACTTACCACCACAATTACATTTGCTGCTGGGACTGGAAGATTTTCTACTTCGATATCTTGACCGGATGTAGCCAACAGATTAAGAGATGGGTCATATGCAGGTCTAGGAAATGCTGAATTTACAATTTGGTGGTTTTTGCTTATTTGAACTTCAGAAGGGGAGTGATAGCTATGTTTATATGTCTTTTGTGGAGCTATATCCAGGCTCTTCTCAATATCTTGTGAACGGTGATAAATGAACATTGGTTTCCAAATCTTCCTCTGATGAATAGCCAAAAAGTGATCATTATTTCCCGAGGAACATCCTAAAAGAGAGAAAAATCAAAAAGAAAATCAAAGATCTTATCCAGTAAGACAGGAAGAATATCTGTATTTTTTGTGTATTTATGTATGTGTATATGTTTGTTTGTATATGTGTGTGTGTGTGTATGCATGTGTATGTATGGGTGCTTATACACGTTGCTATCTGAAAATATGTCCATTGGGAGGTGATTAAACATGACATGAACAGAGATGTGACATGGCTTTGCTTTGTGCTTTCCTCTTTTGCATCAATTTAGATGCAGTGGTCTCGCAGGAGTATGAAGTAAGAACCACGTGTTAAGGAGCAATACCAAAAAGAATTCTGTTCTTTGGATAAAGAAGAATATTGTGCCCACCCCGAATTTTCATTTGGACTTCATATGAAATAGAAACAATTTTCTGTCTTGTTGTAGGCGTTGTCATTGGACATATTTTAGTGATAGCACGAGCCTAAATACTAACACTATTCAATACATTCATTATTTCTTCTATCAGATAAGTTGCTTTGAATTTGTTTCTCTTGTTAGTCAATGACCACAGGAAGAAACAGACTGCATCTCTAAATCAAAAATAATATCATCAGATCAATCAACAATTAAAAAAGCAAGCATGCAATCCTCTGTATGACATAAAAAGAGTGGAACAGACTGCAACATAGTAATGCCATCCATCTGGGTACCCCAGCTTCTCCTGAGGCAAAATATCTTGTACAATTATTGTTCTCAGGAAATTACTACATGCAATATTTCTTTTGTGGCCAATTATCATTTTATTTTTTTCTCTTGTCCTGAAAGGGTCTAAAAATGTTATTTTTTAAATCTGAGATATTAACAAATCTAATTCAATAATACCATCACATTAGATATAGTTTTCATGCTCTTGAACATGCAAACTCCACTGTTTGATAGGACAGTCTGTCTCTAAGGCTAGAATTCCAGGTTTATTCAAGCACAAAGTGTGTCTTCCCCACAACAGCAAACCACTTTACATGGAGAGTCTTAGAAAAGTTAACAGGGCCAAAGGGGCATGTCTGTTCTAGTTCCCAACTCTGAGGTAACTTCCTCATTATAGTTTTCCGCAAGACCAGACTGTTTCCCAGAGAAGAGAGAAAACAATTGCTTACCATTGAGAATTTTAGAAACTCATCTTGGACACTTGGTGTCATTTAGTAAATTGCTTTTGCTTAAAGCCCAAATGAGCACCGTGTGGTGAGAAAGTTAATGTATATCTAAAACATTTCAGTACCATTCTCTGTTAATCAAATAGTGAAGAGAGGAATAACACCGATTACCCAGCTATGAATTCCATAATATAATGTATGTAAGAGCAGTCAGTGCTTTTAACAGAGGACCCAGGTTTGGTTCCCAGCACCCACATGGCACCAACAACTATTTGTAACTCCAGTTCCAGGGAATCATGTACCCTCATCTGACCTCTGCAGGTGTTTCAGGCTCATGGTACACTTGGATATGTGCAGGCAAAACACTCATAAGCATAAAATAAAAATAAACAATATTTTAAATATTTTATTTATTTATTTATTATGTGTATGAGTGTGTTACCTGCATATATGTGAGTTCAACAAAAATTTTAAAATATGAAGAATGCTTATTTCATCCATAGAAATAAATTTATAGTTATTTCAAAGGTCATCACTAATCATCTTTTCCAAACTGTAGTAGCTTGTTTTTTATTTTTTATTTTTTAACTTCTACAAAAACTTTATTGAGAATTTCATGCATGCATATAAGGTGTTTTGATCAAATCCATGCCCACTTTTTCACCTCCAACTCCTCCCATATCTCCCCATAATTTTTTTTTTTGACAAATTTGTGTGCTCTTTCTTTTCTTAGGGGAGGGAGTTGCTACTGTAACATTCCTC